AGTTCAGGTTAGAATGAAGAGATTTAACATGTGCTCCAGAAACCATAACCAGGGAGGGTCTGAAGCCAAGAGAAGATTTGCCTGCTTCCTTTCTGCTTTCTTTACTTTCTTATGTTTAGGGGATGGAGAACTCCCATCAGCTGATGAACTGCCCCAATGCCTACAGTAGGCAGGCCAGGCAGGGAGGTGGGAATTCAATCCCCATGGCAGCAGGGGCACAATCACTTGGGCTTTCATCTTCTGCCTCCGAAGGTCTGCATGAGCAGGAATACTGGAATTCAGGGCTCTAACCCAGGTATCCCACTTGGGAAGCAAGTCATAGCCTCCAGCTAGGCGGCTGCCATAACCTGCTGAGAAATCATTAGGTTCCCAGCAGGGGCAGAATGTAAAGTAAGGAGAAACTGATAGCTCCTTCACACTTTTCTCGGATAATAAAATGCTGTTTGTCACAAATGGCCGTGACAAGACAAAGGACATTTGGAACAGTGTGTGATGGAGAGGCCATCCTCCCACAGGCTTTGGTGCTGGGAGGCTGCGTGCACCTCACAACCATAGACGCAGCCCCGGGGAGCTTCACACCGCCATCCCCTCCTGACTCTGGGCTGGGAAGGCCGGAAACACTGGCCACCTAACTAGGAAGCAGAAAAACATGAAACTAGAGCAAAGGGCTCTTTCTCTGACCCCAGGGCCTGGCCCTCCTGCCATGTTCTCTGCAGAAGGGCTTGCGTGGGCTGAGGCATTCTCACCTGGAGCTCGTGGCCATGCCTTGTTTTCTAGCTTCCGGCCTCTGCCCTTTTCTCCGAGGAGGACCGTGGCTCTTCTCCCCTTTTCCTAGGCCACTCTAGGGGATCGCCTTAAGGATGAGCCTTCCTGCTGCCAGGGCTGTGGGGCAGTGCCCCCCCCTCCCTTTCCGGGTGCCGAAGGGTTAATCTCCCAGCGCTCATGGGCAGTTCTGTCTCCTACAGGGCATGCTGGGATTTCCTCCCAGCTGTTTTACATCACGAAGATTTGCGTGTTGGGGAAATTCCAGCACACAGCTGCAGTTAATCTGCTACAGGGTCTCTAGGCGAAGGGGCAGAATTGTGCGGGGCGAGCTGTCCACCCCTTGCAGGAAGGTGGCTCTAGCTGTCCCCTGAGCACATCCCTCCCAAGGATGCTGTCCTACGCCTGGTGGAGCAGAAACAGCACACCTGGCCCCAGTGCTGGCCGCAGAGAGGGGTTGTGGACCCCAAGGAGCCGAGGAGGAGGAGGAACAGCACTCGTGTAAATAATGAAGTCCAAATCACACTGATAGCAGCACTTGATAAGGAGCTCAGCAACAACAAGCTTTTGTTTCCCCGGCTGGAATGTAGAAGTGAACTTTTTAAAACACCACGATTAGCATTCCACACAATAATACAAGAACCAACAAATCGCCGTGACCAAATAGGGTTTACCTGGGGAATGCAAAGGTGCTTTAGTGTAAGAAAATCCGTGACTATTTATACATCTCGTGAAAGAGGCCAATGAGAGAAACCGCATGACCGTTTTGGTAGATGGCTGAGAGAATGCGATGCCTGTTCCAAGGAAAACAATGTAAAAATAGGAATGGAATCATCCTTCCTTAACAAGACATGTTCTAAACCGCAGCAGCCTCTCTCTGATGAGCTGGGAACCGCAGCACTAGACACCCCAGGCCCTGAAACAGTCTCCCAAACTTGGTCAGGGTGGAAAGCCAACTATCCGCTGTGTCTCAGTGTCACAGCCTCTGTACCTGTGAAGGAATTTGAGCGTGGTCGATTTGTGCTCTCTGTGTCCTGCATTTTGAGCATCAGAACAAGCACTCACCTGGAAATGGTACTTCGGCTAGGGCTGCTAGCAGTGTTGCTTGGCCGACCATTATTTTGGTACCACACAGGTGCTTGACACTGAAGTGAGCACCTGCAGAGGGGAGCTCGCAGGACTGACCTGGGTGCACACCATGATTACATACTGACGGCCTGCCGTGATGCTGCGCTGCTCAGGAGCTGGGCCTGGTGAGGAAGGTGCAGTGGAGCCTGAACTGGGTGTGGAGAAACCAGTTTTATTTGCCCACATGCCACTGCTGTGCAAAGAACCCCAGCTCTGCCGCAAGTCACTTAGTCCCTAGCACCTGCTCCACCCTTGAGCGATTACCCAAGGGAGAGGCTTGGCAGAAAGCTGTTGACATTTAGTAAGTAGAGGCCAGGAATGCTGGTAGACATCACAGGGCATGCTCCCCTCACAGCAAGCAATCACCTGGCCTGAATGTCAGTGGCAAGCCCTTCGTTCTGGTCCGACAAGCCAGCAATGGCACACACCCCGTAAGACCAGCGGATGGTGTTATTTGCTACTCAAAATCCTTGCACCGTCCCATACTCAGATAGAGCTTCCCTTGGGCTAGCTAAAGATGTGTCTGGAATGGCCAGCAAGAGAGCAGAGTGTTCAGTCTAGGTGACTCTAAGTGGAGCACACTTCTATGGTGTCCCCTGTTGGGGACAGACTTTGGTTATGCTTTAGCACCTTGTACGGTGTGGGGGATAGCAAAGGGGAGGGAATCCCAGCAGAATAAAGCACATAGAGTGGGCAGGATCCTCAGGGAGAAGGTGTTAGGAACACTTTGTGGCTAGTGGGGTTGTAGAAGGTATGGTGTCTGAGGCCAGGAGACCCAGGCCCTGCCTCCAGCTCACATCCATATAGTTCAGTAAGTTGTTCAGCCTGTATCTGTGACCTTTAGCTCATCTGAAAAACAGAGGTAGCCAACCCCTGCTTGCAGCAGCATAGTTTTGTGTGTACAGATATTTCCAAAACTACATATGTAGCATCAGTGTTGTTGTCTGCTGAGGAAACGGGTTTTCAGTAATGACACCAGTGTTTGTTCAGTGCTTCTGACTTGCCAGCGGCTTTGAAATCCCAGTTAGTTCTGGGAAGTTTGAATTCTGAATGGGGCCAGAGACAGGTTTGGCTAGAAAAGAAAAAAAGGTAGAAATGGCAGAGGAGCAGGACAGAGGTGTGAGGCTCGCTGGGAGAAGTGGGGCTCAAAAGGAAAAGGCTGCTGAGGCTGCCTCCCGCCAGGCCTGCCTGCCCGTCACACCTGCACCTGCTCCCCTTGCCGCCGCTTCTTTACAAACTGTCTTCGGGACACACTGTGTTCCTCCTGGCCTGTGGACACCATACAGACAGTCCAGCCCCTGCCTCTTGGTTGAGCTGTGCTGGAGGGCTTGGTGGTAGCCTGCTGGAGCTCTGCCTGTCTGTTGCCCTGCTCCATGCAGCAGCAAGCCGTGACTGAACGAGCAGGGCCTGGCTCCTTTCTGTCTCCCTGGGAAGCCAGCACATCCCTCCTGGGGCTGGAGCTCTGAAAGCCGTCTGCAGAATTGTGCACGGAGGCTGCCTCGCTGCTCTGCAGCCCAGGAGCGCCCTATCAGTGTTGACACTAAGACAACACGTGTGCTTGTGCTCCTGGCAGAGATGAATGGTTTGCTTATGAAAATAATAGCTGTCATTTATCAACCGTGCAGGACACTGTGTTGGATACTTGACATTGTCCCCATTCCTGCTGACAACCTGTAGAGTTAATGATAACAGCCCAGTCTTGCAGTTGACAGAGGTGACAGAGTTAAGTCACTGGCCCTAGGTCACACAGCCTTCCCTTGGCCAAGTGGCAAGCTGCACCCATGGAGGCTGGAGGCCAGGCAAGCCTGTCTAGGCATCCCTGTCTTCTGCTATTCCCACCTTCCAAAGACTTTGCCAAGCATGTGCTCACCATGCATGTGTGTGTGTGTGTGTGTGTGTACGCGTGTGCACGTGTAGGGTGTACTGTTTCGATTTTTTGCAGTGAGACTTGGGGGAGGGGTGGCTGAATGCTGTGGTGTAGGAATTTAAACCGATGCCTACAGCACCAGCATCCCATATGGGTGCTGATTCCTCTCCTGGCTGCTCCACTTCCAGTCCAGCTTCCTGCTAATGCACCTGGCAGAGCAGCAGAAGGAAGTTCCTGGCTTCAGCATGTCCCAGCCCCTAACTGTTGCTGCTGCCATTTGGAGAGTGGACAAGCAGATAGAAGTTCTATTTGTTTACCCTCCACCCCCATAACTCTGTCTTTCAAATAAATAAAATGAATCTGGTGGGGGGAGAAAACTTTTGCTGGGTAAAAAATAACCCAGTGATTCTTTTTGAGACCAAGAAATGCTGCCATCTGAGAAGAGCAATGTCAGTACGAGTAGATAATGACTCATGACCCACAAGATATGAAAGTTGTGTTTTTTGGGTTTTTTGTTTTGTTTTGGTAGCTAATTCATTTATTTTATGATACAGTTCCAAAGACTCTGGGACTGCCCCCCCCCCGTTGATTTCTCCTATTTTATATCATACAGTCCTTCAGAATGTTGAGTTTTATGGTTTTTTTTTTAAGATTTATTTTATTTTTATTGGAAAGGCGGATATACAGAGAGGAGGAGGAGAGACAGAGAGGAAGATCTTCCATCCGATGATTCACTCCCCAAGTGAGCCGCAACGGCCGATGCTATGCCAATCCGAAGCCAGGAGCCTCTTCCAGGTCTCCCACGTGGGTGCAGGGTCCCAAAGCTTTGGGCCGTCCTCGACTGCTTTCCCGGGCCACAGGCAGGGAGCTGGACGGGAAGTGGGGCTGCCAGGATTAGAACCGGTGCCCATATGGGATCCCGGGCGTGCAAGGCGAGGACCTTAACCACTTGCGCCACCACGCTGGGCCCGAGTTTTATGTTTTTGTCAGGCAGGATCTCCTAGACGTTCTTGGGTTGTTTGGATTACTCTAGAAGGTTTCTGGGCTCTTCCCCACTCACAGATCAGTTTTGTTGTTGTGCGTCATAGCTCTCCCAAAAAAGATTGAGTTGGTGATTATAGCTGTACACGCGTCCCCATTGTGATTATTTGGAGATTGAGCCTGTACAGAGGGTGTGGAGGTCAGAGGGTGTGTGACGCATTGTCTCACCATCTGCTGTGTGTGTTCTCGTGTCCCTGTGCAGTACCTGCAGATGAAATGGCCCCTCCTCGACGTGCCCTCCAGTGCCACGGTCAAGGATGCGAGGTCACCATCTCCAGCACACTTGGTAAGTCCATTTCACCTTCAAGCCCCAAAGGGGGGCACCCTTGTTGGCCTCGGCCTGCATCACTTACCTCCCCAACACTCCCAGAAGTTGATGGAAGGCAGGCATGTGGCCGGGGATTGGGGATGCACAACCAGATGTGCCTGCTCTGCTTCTCTACCCCAACGTCTCAGCACACAGGCAGGGGCCACCTCAAGTGCTGAGGGACAGGGGACCTGGCTCCTGGGCGTCACTGCTGGCGTTGTCTCCCGTACTGTCCCGAGGTGCAGACGAAAGCCCTGCCAAACCCTGGGAAGTGGAGTCCCTGCAGGTCTCTCTCTCCTCAGGCCATGCTGGGAGTTGAGATGCAGTGCCTGTCAGAGGTGAGGCTTCTGAAATGGAACCGCATTCCTCATGGTTTGGCTTCTTGAAGTGATGCCTAACTAAAGACACACCTGTCCCAGCGAGTCTCAGATTCACAGATGGGCCAAATCTGACCTGACTTGTCCTGTTTTTAGCACAATGACAGCTAGAGCTTCGTGGCTATTCCCCTGAGCTAGGTGTACTGCACTGGGGCCATGGATTTTTTAAAACTTTATCAAGGAACAGTGTAAGAAAATGTACAAGCAAAGGGCCGTGAGCTACACCCTCCCATGTTCCCACCATGTGAGTTTTCCAGAGATACAGTTTCCTCTCAAAGAGTATCCCAAGATACATCTCCAGCAGTCCTTGTTCATCAAGAGTTAGAATGGAGGGGCAGGTGATGTACTACAGCCCGTTAAAGACATCTACATCCCACGTCAAGAATGGCTGCTTCAAATTCTGGCTCCTCCACTTCTGATCCAGTTCCCTGCTGATGCACCTGGCAAGGCGGCCGACGATGACCCAAGTGTCTGACCCCCTGAGCACACATGGGAGACATGGGTGACGCTCCTATTTCCCAGCATTGGCTTATCCCAGCCTCAGTTTTTTTGTGTTTTTTTTTAAGATTTACTAATTTTTATTGGAAAGTCACATATACAGAAAGGAGGAGAAATGGAGAGGAAGATCTTCCATCCAATGATTCACTCTCCCAGTGGCCACAATGACCTGAGCTGTGCCAATCCAAAGCCAGGAATCAGTAGCCTCTTCTGGGTCTCCCACGCAGGTGCAGGGTCCCAAGGCTTTGGGCTGTCCTCGACTGCTTTCCCAGGTCACAATCAGGGAGCTGGATGAGAAGTGGGACTGCCCAGACATGATTTGGCGCCAGTATGGTATCCCGGTACATGCAAGGCCAATACTTTAGTCACTAGGCTACCATGCCAGGCCCCCAACCTCAGTTTTTAATGACCATTTTCAATGTCATACCTCCAGTTGGAGAGCTCTCTATATAAAATAAATATTTAATAAAAAGCTAGAATATAGTTGAGGAGAATGAGGAGAAACACAGAAAAGCCATAGTACAGTAAGCCTGCATGTCTTCCAGTAGACACAAGACCAGCAGAGTTGGTGGGAGTTTATGTGGTGATATCACGCATAGCGGAGGCAGGCAAAAAGGACTGTGTAAGGAATTAATTAGTGACAGGACCAGCCAGCCAGGGCAGGCTGCTGCAAGAAGTTCCAATCCCTGCTGGCAGGTTCTGTGGTCCCAAGGCATAAGCCACCCTTTGAATCAGCACCTCAGAACCCTGCTGGGGATGGTGGGGCACAGGGTACAGGTGCCCTCTAGTGGTGGCCTTCGCCACAGTCAAGGATTCCAGTGCAAACCTGATTTGTTCCTCCCTGGCAAGTCATCTCTCCGTTTCACAGCTGTCCCACCCACTCCCAGCTAAGTCCTGCCTGCTGAACTTTATTCTGTCTTCTGACTGCCGCTCTGCATGCCATCTCATCTCCACCTAGTTTTAAAGGACATGATTACCCTTTTAAAAAGGAACACACAAGGGCAGATGTTTGGCATAGAGATTGAGACACATCTGCATCCAAATTGGAAAGTCTGGGTTGAAGTTCAGGCTCCATTCTGAAATGTGGCTTCCCTCTGCTGCGCAGCCCAGGAGGCGGCAGTCATGGCACAAGCAGTTGTGTCCCTGCCACCTGCACAGGAACCCTGAGTTGAATTTGAGGCTTCCAGCTTGGGCTTGTTCCAGCTCTGGCCATTGTAGGTGTCTGGATGGGCGTTCTCACTGTCTTGACTTTCTTCTGAAAGAAATAATTAAAAGCACCAACAAGAGGACACATATGTTCTGAGTTTCTCTTCTCCCCGTCACACAGATCTTCCGGGCTGGCCTTCCTCCCATGAGCACATCCCGGTTCTCATCTGGTATCAGCCCTGACTTCTCACACCTCCGGGGCCACCACCCTGCTGCTCTGCCCAGCCACTGCAGCCTAGCCCTGCCCCACCATTGCCACTCAGCAGCCAAGTCTAGCTGGCATCCTGCTTTTTCTTTTTTTTTTCTTTTTCTTAAGATTTATTTAGTTTTATTGGAAAGTCAGATTTACAGAGAGAAGGAGATCAGAAAGATCTTCAATTCACTGACTAGCTCCCTAAGTGGCTGCAATGGCTGAAGTTGAGCTGACCTGAAGCCAGGAACCCCGCAGCCTCTTCCAGGTCTTCCATGCGGGTACAGGATCCCAAGGCTTTGGGCCATCCTCAGCTGTTTTTTCAGGCCACAAGCAGGGAGCTGGATAGGAATGGAGCAGCCAGGATACAAATTGGCTCCCATATGGGATCCCGTTGCATGCAAGGCGAGGACTTTAGCCACTAGGCTGCTGCACCAGGCCTGGCTTCCTGCTTTCTCTCAATACAAGTGGCCTCTGACAGCACTTACTACCCTGTCTCTTTAACTCTTGATTCCCCTTTTTCATTTCTCCATTTTTTCCTCAAAGATTTATTTACTTTGATAGAAAAGTAGATCAAATCTGTAGAGAGAACAGACAGAAAAATCTTCCATGCATTGTTTCACTCCCCATGTGGCTGCAAAGGCTGGAGCTGAGCTGAGCCAGGAGCCAGGGTCTCCACCACGGCTACCAGGAGCCCAAGGCTTTGGGCCGTCTTCTACTGCTTTCTCAGGGCACAAGCAGGAGGTTGGATGTGAAATAGAGCAGCTGGGACATGAATGGTGTCTATATGGGATCCCAGTACTTGCAAGGTGAGGATTTAACCATTGAGCCATCGCACCGGGCTCTCTTTTTTCATTTTCTTTTTGTACTTTTCCTAGTAAATCAGTTCCCTCTTGTCAGTTTGTATCTTGGAACAAAAGACAGAGAGAGATAGGCAGTCTCTGCTTTCAGAAAGGTTTCCACAGCTGCGATGCAAGCATCCAGCCAGGGTCAGGAGTCGGGGGCTGAGGGCAGTGACGTCCTGACACATATGCAGCAGAATGAATCGCTTGCTGGCAGACTGCATGTTACATGCTGCAGGGTCGAACAGGGCAAAGCAGAAAGAGCCCTCAAATGCTCCAGAAGCAGTTACGGGAGAAAAACCTGAACCTGAGTGAGGGGGCAAGCAGGTTGTCGGAGTCCTAGCATCTCATCCTGGTCCCTGTGTACCGGCCGGAGCTAAGGCTCCCTGGCAGGAGGCTGATATGCTGTAGCTTTCAGTCCCAACCCCACCTCCTTCCATTTTTGCAGCTGCAGGCAATTTGTCTTTCCTCTCTCTGGCTCTCTTTCCTCACCTGTTAAGTGAGTCTTAGAAGAGATCCAACTGCATGATACAAAAATGAGCCAGTAGGTGAGAGCACTTCAAAATATTCCTGGAAAATAGAGTTAAAGGGAGCTAGCACAGTGGCATAGCGTATTAATCCTCCACCTTCAATGCCAGCATCCCACTTGGGTGCTCTCTGCTTGTATCCTGGAAAAGGAGCCTTAGGATGCCCAACTGCTCGGTCATTATACCCAAGAAAGCTTTGGCTCCCAGCATTGGACCAACCCAGCACTGGCCATGATGACCATTCAGTGGAAGATCTCTCTCTATAATTCTTTCAAGTAAAAATAAACCTTAATAAAATAAAAAGAAAATCGAATTCAAGGAGTCTATTTTGGTGCAAGCATAGTGTGAAACTATGCATCTTTTTTTCACAATAAGTGTTTAAAAAACCCGCTTTCTGTGTCTGAATTTCAAGGTTTTTTTTTAACACCAACATAAACTTATCTTAATTCCATTTTCCAGGATCCTTCTGAAGGGCTGTTGTATTGTAATGAGTGTAGAATAGTGCCTAACTCAGTGAGCCTTCAGTCTCTCCAGTCCTGCCCTTGCCATCTCCGCCACTTTTGCTGCCATTACTATCACTAAGAAGTGACAGAGGGAGTGAACAATTAAAATCCCGTTTAATTAGCAAACTAAGAGGTAATGGGGGCCTGAAATAGGAGCCGGAACAAATGGGCAGATTGTAAAGGTAATAGAGATAATGAGCCTATAGAATTCAACACCTAATCCCCCAAGGATATGATTTAATTGGTTTGGGGCGGGGCTGGTATCTTGGTGCTTAGAGCTCGGCTGGAGATCCTAAGGGGCTTTTCCTTTCTGTAATTGCGGAACCCAAGTTTGCGAAGGGAAGAGGAGCTGAGTCAGTATAGGTTTCTTTCCAGGATGCAGGACCTGAATGCTCCCAACAACTAGTCCTGGAGGTTTGGGTCCTGGCCTTTTCATTCAATGGAAAAATTGGAGCACTTGAGACTGTAACATTTAGTTTAGAATCCAGAGGAAAAAATTGTTTAAAAGTTTGTTTCTTTGGAAGTCATAGTTAGCAGTGAGATTTTCCATCTAACTGGTTTTCTCCCCAATGCTTGCAATAGCAGAGCTGGACCAGACTGAAGCCAGAAGTTGGCAGTTCCGTCACGACTCCCACATGGCTGGTGGGTTATGAGCACATGGGCCGTTTTCTGCTGGCTTCTCAAATTAGCAGGAAGCTGGATCAGAAGGAGAGGAGCTGGGGCTCCCATCAGACCTCAGGAATGAAATATGTCCTGGTGAAGTTTGTGCTGGGAGTAGAGTGAATGGGGCAAGTTCAGGAGAAGCTGCCCCTTGAGGAAGTGGAACAAGCGCTAAG